CCCCCCCACCGTACTGTCATCCAGGCCGGAGATCTTGATCTTGCCGAGGTCGAGGCTGGGGGCCACCCCGACGGTGAAGGGGCTCTTGGGGATGTGGTCGCCCCCGTAGGTCACCGACACCCCCAAATTACCCTGGGGGGAGAGAGGGGGTGGCTGCAGGGCTGCCCCGCCCCATGGCTTGGCGGGGGGGTTTTGTGGCCCCCCCCCCACGCTGCACCAGGGGTGTATCGGTGGGAGTTTGGTTGCCCACATTACAACAGGAGGAGGGAGTGCTGGGTTTTTGGGGTGATCCTCCCCACTACCTGCTGGGGAGGGGGGTGCGGGGTTTGGGGTCCACCCCCCGTTACCTGCTGCAGGGGGGTGTACTTGACGGTGTGGGTGCCGTCGTGGTTGTCGATCACCTCCAGGTCCCGCACGGCTTCGCCCTTCCCGGGCCCCGTCACCTGCACGTCCAGGGGGGCCCGGCCCCCCGCCTTGGCGTTCACCGTGAAGTGGGTGGGCTTCCCCAGCTCCACACCTATCGGGGGGACCCGAGGGGTCAAGGGGGGGTCCCCAAATCCCTGCCGGGGCCCCCCCTGCTACCCCTCCAGCTCACCAGAGCGGCTGAGGCCGGGTCCCTCTGCCTTCACTTTGCTGGCGTCGTGCGAGGGGTCGACCTTGATCCGGATGGGGCTGGTGGGGGTGGCCTGCGGGAAGGAACCCCCAAAATCAGCCCCCTGCACCCCAAGACCCCTCGTGCCCCCTCCCCCAGACCCCCCCAAGCCCACCTGGTTGGCGAAGAGCACCATGATGGTGTAGGCGCCGGGGCCGCGGGGGGTGTAGCGCACGGTGAAGGTGTCGTTGTCGTTGCGGATGATGTCGAAGTCGATGTCGGCCTCGGCCGGGCCCACCACCCCCGGGGCGCACTTGATCCCGATGCTCACGTCCCCTGGGGGGGCCGGGGGGGGTGTTCAGCACCCCAAACCCCACCGGCACCCCCCCCTGCCCACCCCACGCCCTCCAGCTCACCCTGCCCAGCCTCGGTGCAGTCCACGGTGAAGTAGGTGGGCTCGTGGGCCTTGAGCCCCGTCTTGGCCACGCCGGGGCCGTAGACCTTCACCTTGTGGGGGTGGCTGCCGGCCCCCACGCCCACCTGGGGGTTTTGGGGGGGCGGGGGTCAGGCCTGCCGCCTCCCCAGGCGGCTGGGCCCAGCCCCTCGGGTTTTGGGGACCCCCCCCTCCCCGCCTCTCACCCGGAAGGGGCTCTGGGGGATGTTCACGCCGCCCCAGGACACCATGGCAGTGTGCTTGAGGGGCTTCTTGGGGACGTAGGAGCAGCTGTAGGTGCCGTTGCCGTTGTCCTTGACAGAGACGTCCACGGGGTTGCCCTCTGCGTCCTGGGGCAGGGGGACACACAATGACAACGGGGGGTCAGCACCCCCAAAACCCACCCTGTGACACCCCCCCAAGTCCACCCACACCCCCTTCTCCATAGCCAGGCCCCCAAATCCAACCTGCAGCCCCTCAGCTCCCTCGCCTCTGTGCTGGGGCTCCCAAATCCTCACGATAACCCCCCAAAACCACCTTGTATTGAGTCCTAAGCGGGGCCGCTCCCCCAAACCCCCCCCAAATACCCCTCATGCCACCTCCCCCGTGCCTGCGCTCCCAAATCC